TTCTTCTAATTCTTCTGGAGTAGGGTGTACAATTCTTCTTATTTCGGGATCCCTGTATTCTGGTGATGTCATGTTGCCTTTCATGTTGTTGGAGGAAGTCTTGCATTGGCGCCTTCCCATCTCCTATTTCATATGGAGCCAGGGGAGGCCTGGTGTCTTGGTCCAGTCTTTGCTGTGACTGAGTCTCTGGGTGTATCTCTTCAGTGTAGAAGCAGCGCCCGGCCCGTCCAGATGGAACTCTTCAGCACCTAAACAGGGCCGCCTGGTAGCCCAGTGATCCAGGGATAGAAGGAAGGACGGGGCAGGCAGTGCAGGATCCAGGAGAGCACAGGAGCACCTGGAGCCCAGGCTGAGGGCGCCCAGGCTCTCCTACTGGAGACCTTGAGGCTTACTGCTCTGGGTGGGTAGCCTCAGAGTAGGAGCCTAAAGTAGGAGCTTCCATGTATGGCACTTTTAATGTAGGTTCTGAGGATTGGAATCAGGTCCGTGACTGAAGTATCTCCTTATCCTCTATATATATTGACTTTAACAAAAAGGTCTCAAAAAGACCCTTTAGAGTAGAATTTTTTTTAAAAAAAATAAGTTCATAAATTGTCATTTGAATTGATTTTTTTATCTCTTATAAAGTTTTTTTTCTATTATCACAGGGCTTCTAGTTGGGACTCTTGATTCTGTCTTAGACTCTACTGCCAAAGTGGCTCCATTTCGCATCCTACACCAGACACCAGATTCTCAAGTTTACTTGTCAATTGCATGTGGTAAGTATGATTGTTTAAAAAGCCTTACAGTTCAAATATAAGCAAGATACTAAGATAATTATGGCAGAACTCAATGAGCTTCAAATTCCAAATTGAAGAGTTAATAATTACAGAAATGAAAATACTTTTGCTTGGGCTGGAGAGATGGCTCAGAGGTTAAGAACATTGCCTGCTCTTCCAAAGGTCCTGAGTTCAATTCCCAGCAACCACATGGTGGCTCACAAACATCTGTAATGAGGTCTGGTGCCCTCTTCTGGCCTGCAGGCACACATACAGACAGAATATTGTATACATAATAAATAAATAAATATTTTTTTTAAAAAAGAAAATACTTTTGCTAAAACATTCTTATTAATGAAGATTGTAATCTTATTTAAATGGATAAGATATTCATATCTAAAAACAAAATCAACTAATATTGAATGTCACTGCATACTAAGCATTGTTACAAGTGCTTTGTATGTAGGAAAACTGAATATTCAAATTTCCTTATACTCCTCAGTTGCTTTAAGATTTGGAAGCAAGTTAAATGCAACTGTTCTTTGTGAGAATAGCAGTCCCACTTCCCTTTAAGAATGATTACAGCTTATTAGGAAATTAAAAGGCTAGTGAGCAGGCATTGGTTACTGTGACTGCCACCTGACTCCTTTATAAACTTAGTAATTCTTTACCAAACTGCTGGAAAGATTGGACCTTCCCCATTAAATACCAGTGTTCTATCTTCTTCTAATAGTAACTGAGATAAGGAGAACATGATTATGGTAAGCCCAAAACTTAAAGATTCTTCCCTGAAAAAGTAGAAGTCTGACATTTGAATTTTTTATTTACATACCTGATGTTTTTCAAAACTTTGAAATATAACTTTGAAATAGAAAGAATGATTTGCAGGTACAGCTACATTATCATTCATACCCAGGTGGTCCAGAGCTTTCCACATAGTGTATTGTGGGTAACGTGGGAAAGAGATTATGATGAGTCTTCCTAATAATACAAATCAGAATAATTTTAACTCATATGCAATATTTGTCTTTCATTTCTATGTCATTTCATTTCCATTGTAATATTGAACAAAACTAGAATCTCATATTTATGGTCTTTTTAAATATTGACTGATTTCTTCTTTTCTCCTCCCCTCTTTTCTAAAGAGTGTGTGTGTGTGTGTGTTTGAAAAAATACACATGAATTTGTAGACATGTCATGTTTGTGAACATACAGCATACAATTACATTCATTAGGATGTGTAACTATGAAAGAAATTGCCCTCTAAATTTCCTTTAGTCATCCTACTAAGTCTGTTCTCCTAACTCTTTTAAATTACATTCTAGCAAAACTAAATGCAGATAAGATTAAGAGAATTTTATAACCTCAGTTCTGAAACTCATCAGTCAAGATGGTTTTGAAAAGTCTTTTCTGCTTTAAAAAAGTAAAATCTTGCTATTCTTGCATATGAACCTGATATATAATTCTTATTCATAAGATGAATAAATATCTAACTGGATTATAGAAAATGAACAATTTTGCAGTGTCAATAAAATTTTACTGTGATCGTCTCTATATCATGGGAACATTCTGTGCAGTCAAGGTTATTTCTTTTTAATGATATCTGTATAATCCATATTTCCAGAAAGATTTTTAAAGATATTTGGTAATAAGAGAAGTGGGGCTGGATAATGAAAGTTTCTCCAAGTGAAAGCAAACCTAGCAATAAGAATATTTAATACAGCCTTCAATAAGACAGCTAAGACTGACGCTGGTGCAATAGGTCTTATGGTTTAATATTGCCACAAGGTTTCTGACTTTCATCATGCAATGTCTGTAAGTTTGCTGCGTGTTTTAGTGAATTCACTGGCTCTTACCAAAGGGTTTGTATGTTTAGTAACCATAGTAAAAAGTCCACATTTGTCCAGCAATGTAAAGGACTGTCACATGCTTACTATTTTCAGTCTTGAAGAATTTAGACACAATGCTAGTAGTTGTACTTGACCAAGGGGTAAAATGTGAGGGTGTGTGTGTGTGTGTCTGTGTTTCCTACATGTTTCTTTGTAAAGATAATGGTTTCTTCTGGGCACTAATTACTGTTATCTTATTTTCAGAATTTTTACATTTCCTTATGAGTTATTTTTCTCCCATTTCATTAAGTATTGTATTTTTCTATTTCTAATAAATTTAACTCTATTGTTTGTGCTCATATATTCAGATGAAATAGAGAATAAATATATTAATTTATATATAGCTATATTTTTGTGAAAGTGACCAAGTAGTTTTATTTCCTTTTAAACTAAATTTGTTTGAATATAAAGAGAAGGTTTATTAAGGCGTTTCCCTTGAATCATTTTTCTCTATATTATTAATCAGGGGCCAACAGAGAAGAAATAACAAAACATTGGGACTGGTTGGAACAAAATATAATGAAGACTTTATCAGTGTTTGATTCAAATGAAGATATTACTAATTTTGTACAAGGCAAAATAAGAGTAAGTGGAATGGACGGGTGAATAAAGTGGATATGGTATATATTCACAGTGGAGTTTTATTATCCCATAAAGAAGAAATTATGTAATTTGTAGACAGTGTATAGAATTGAATATAACTATGTTAAGCAAAAAAACCTAGTCTCAAAGTCAAGTAGCCCGTGTTTCTTTCATATGCAGAATTTAAATTCTACATCACTCACACAAAATGAAGGATGGTACTACTTGGAGGAAGGAAGGGAACTAATGGGAACAGAGAGAAATAGGGATAAAATGAAAGACAAAAATTACATGTTTCTCTCATACACAGATTTAAATATATATTAAAATTTAGATTATAGAAATAGAAATACTATAAAACAACAAATATTGCATGTTTTCCTCATGCACAAATTTAAATATGTATTAAAATCTACATCATATGCATGTATATATATGACATTGAAATTAGGAGTAAGAAGGGATCTGTGGGAATGGAGATAGCAGGGGACAAGAGAGGGTGATGGACATGAATTGTGTGCAAAGTACGATGATGCGCATTTATGGAAATGTCATAATTAAACCCACAGGGTTTCTCACTGTAACAGTCCTGGCTGTCCTGGAACTAGCTCTTGTAGAGCAGGCTGGACTCGAACTCACAGAGATCCACCTCTGCCTCCCAAGTGCTAGGTTTAAAGGCGTGTGCCACCACTGCCGGCTTTTTATATATTTCTTAAACAATAAGAAATTTTGAAAATTAGCTTACCTTTAGTTTCATCATTACTTAGTTGGTATGAGTTCTGAGCCCTCAAATAAAATGTGCATGATTCCAAAAGAGAATAAGTGATATGGATGTATTCTGTAAATGGAGCCCTAAAATGGAGTCTTCTTCAGGAAAGATTGGGGTAACATAGAAGGTCATCCTTTTACTGGCACTTTTTATGCCTTTCAGAAGCACATGTCTGGATGCCAAGATAAGTGCTTCCAGAAATTGTGCAATGGCTTGGTTTTGGTGCTCTTGTGAACATTCCCAGCAGTGTTTTCATTTCACTGTCGCTTAAATAGGATTTTGAACAAAGCTTTTGTTTATTCAGAAGATGTTTGACACCTACATTTGTGATAGCTTCTTATAAAGGAAGAAACACTGCTACAAAACTAAAGACAACGTGCTCACCTCTATCCTAAGAGAAGTATGCATATGCAGACATGTATACATACAACCTATATATCCATAGAGATCTATTTGATCAATACCTAAAATGAGAAACTTAAAATCTATACTTAAATATGAAAAAGATTTTTGTTGCTAGGTGATGGTAAGTTTTCTGAAGCTATTTTATCTCTTCCAGGGACTAATTGCTGAAGAGGGAAAAGAGTCTTTTGCTAAAGAAGATGATCCTGAGAAATTTCGAGAAGCTCTTTTGAAATTTGAAAAATCTTTTGGTTTACCAGAACAGGAAAAATTAGTAACGTATTATTCCTGCAGTTATTGGAAAGGACGGGTTCCTTGTCAGGGTTGGCTCTATCTAAGTACCAACTTTCTGAGTTTCTATTCTTTCTTGCTAGGATCAGAAAGTAAGTGTTTGTTTATTGCTTATCATGGCTTTCAATTTTCTCAATGACCTATCAACTCAGTGGTGTTAAGTTCTGTGTACAGTAATGGGATTGATATTGAAAGTAATTAAATTATATGTTCACATCAAAGACGTTTCAACCACAGAAAGAATTTAAGAATCTCTATGTAACACAGGGAACAATTAAAATGTGGATAGAAAATCTTAGACATAAATTGAGTAGCAGATGAATTTTAAGCAATAAGAAACTAGTATGTAACCACTTCTGTCTTCTTAGAAGCTGCCTGCTTGTTCATATGTGTTTTAATTCTTGTTTTAAACATACAACATAAAGTAAGCCATTGTACCTCCTGATCTACATCTCATTTTGCAGCCACAAAGGATCAAGTGGTATTATTTATAGCATATGTATAACTTTTACATCAATGGTTATATAATGAGATGATTATATATAAAGAAACAATTTAAACATCACATCAAAATCTTTTTCTAATTCTTTAAAATGGTATCTGTCCCAAGTATTGGATACATAACTCAGTGGTAGCACATGTCTGGCATGCATAAGGCCTTGGGTTCAATCCCAGCACCATTAAAAAGAAAAATCAAAAAGTCAAGAATATATACCTGTTTTTTAGAATCACTGATTATTATATATTTATTACAATGTTTCAAAATCTTAATTAACTTTGACTTCTAAAGTACTGTATTATTTTTCCAGTGGTCATGATAAAAGAACTGAATTATGAACATAAATCAATATTGAAAATGTAATTGCACTTACTTACAATTCTCATTTGCAGTTAAACTCATTATCTCCTGGGACGCAGTCTCAAAACTAGAAAAGACTTCAACTGTTATACTAACAGAGAGTATTCATGTATGTTCTCAAGGAGAGAATCACTATTTTTCAATGTTTTTGCACATTAATGAAACATACCTTCTTATGGAACAACTGGCAAACTATGCCATAAAGAGACTTTTTGATAAAGAAACATTTGATAATGACCCAGTCCTTGATGATCCTCTACAAATTACCAAAAGGTATTTCAATATTAATATTTACTTCTCTTTTCATCTCTCATTTGTTGGGGATATAGGGGAGTCATGCATGCCCAGGCATAGGGACAAAGGTCAGAGGATAACTTGCAGAAGTCAATTCTCTCCTTCCACAGTGTGGTTTGTGGGGATCAAGCTCAGCTCCTCAGCCTTGGCAGCAAGCACCTATACTCTCTGAGCCTTTTCACTGGCTCCAATATTTACATTTTATAGTATTATTTGGCTGTAAGAATGGTTTAACAATGATTAACATTAAAAGTTAAATGCTCTATATTATATGATAGTTTTTTCTTTGGCATTGATCATTGATGTTTATTATTTGTAAGTTTATTTGAATACATTTCAGAATTACTCCTCCTCCGTGAAATTTAATTCTAAGATATAATGGAAGTTAGGTTTGGAAATTATTTTCTTAATTAAATAGGATTTATATTAGAGTATGTCTTCGTTCTGATTTCTGTTGCTGTGATGAAACACCATGACCAAAGCAACTTGGGGAGGAAAGGGTTTATTTGTCTTATTCTTCTTTATCTCTGTTCATCATTGAAGGAAGTTAGGACAGGAACTCAAACACGGCCAGAGCCTGGAGGCAGGAGCTGATGCAGAGGCCGTGAAGGGAGCTGCTTACTGGCTTGTACCCCATGGTTTGCTCAGCCTGCTTTCTTATAGAACCCAGGACCACCAGCCCAGGGATGGCACCACCCACTATGGGCTGGGCACTCCCCCATCATTCACTAACTAAGAAAATGCCAGGCAGTGATGGTGCAAGCCTTTAATCTCAGCACTTGGGAGGCAGAGGCAAAGTGAGTTCCAGGACAGCAGGGGCTACACAGAGAAACCCTGTCTCAGAAAAAATAAAGGAAAGGAGGGGAGGGGAGGGGAGAAAAGAGAGAGGAAAGAAAGGAAAGGAAAGAGAGAGGAAAGGAAAGAAAAGGAAAGGGAAAAGGGAAAGNGGGGAGGGGAGGGGAGGGGAGAGGAGAGGAGAGGAGAGGAGAGGAGAGGAGAGGAGAGGAAAGGAAAGGAAAGGAAAGGAAAGGAAAGGAAAGGAGGGAAGGAGGGAGGGAGGAAGGGAGGAATTAAGGAAGAAATGCCTCACAGGCTTGCGTTCAGCCTGATCTCATGGAGGCAGTTTCTCAACTGAGGCTCCTTCCTCTGATGACTTAGTTGTGTCAAGTTGACTAGTGAGCACAAGGTAATTTCCAAAGTGTAGAGTGTTTAATGTGGTTAGGTAACTCTAAATTTGTCTGTTTGTAGTCTAGATAATTTAAGTTCTAGAGTAGTTAAGCATATTGTTTAATTTTAAATTAATTTAGTGATACTATTAACATTTTTCTGTAGAGACAACTTAATAGAGCCAGTGGACCATGGGCTTTAGTTTCAGACTGGAGAAGTCTCTTGAAGTTCCCATTTCTCAGAGTCTTTGTTTGCTTCTCTGTCATTTCTTCCCCTGTGGGCCCTTATTAGGAATGAATGAAATGTGTGGTGGTTAAATATAAAAGAACTACACAAGTACTAATCATTATTAGTGCCTACATCAGAAGTATCTGACTAGGTGGGAATGGGGGCATGTGTATCTAGTCCCGGTACTTGGAAGGCTGAGGCAGGAAGGTCATTAGTTCTGGGTCAGCCTGAACTCTACAGGGAGGCCTTATTCTCCAGGAGGAAAAAGAGACTGACTGACTGATCATTGTTCATCATTATATTCAGTTTGCTGAAAGTGGACAGAGCCCTTTCATCTACTCAACACTTAAGACAGTTGACTGAAAGGGACTTGGCAAAGGGGAGGAGGAAAGAAAAGCATTCAGAATTAGCTAGTGAAAGTCGTTTGGGGCAAGGAAGGTGAGGATATAGCCTGGGAAAGTTTAAGAGAAACCTAATCCAGAGCCTTTGGATAGACTCGACTAAGTGATGCGGAGGTTTGTCATATACTAACTAGGCCTGGTTGGGTAGCTAGTCATTTCTCACAGAGTTCCTAAACTATTCCCAGCATTCAGATGCAGAAAGATTACTTGATGAGTCTGTAAGCTGAAGCTTTATACTTTATTACCAAAGTTAGGTCTCTGCCTGTTTTACAAATGGAACTCTTTCATTGAAAATTTAAGGCTCAGGGCTGGAGGGATGGCTCAGAAGTTAAGAACACCAGCTCCTCTTGCAGAGGCCCGGGGTTTGATTCTCAGCAACCATACAGTGGCTCATAGTTGCCTGTAGCTCCTTTTCCAGGAGATCTGATTCCTTCTTCTGACCTCCATGGGGACTAGGTACACAAGTGGCAAACAGACATACATGGAGACAAAACATTCATACAATAAAAATAAATATACGATTTTTTTAAAAGAAAGGACTTAAGGCTGGAGAGATGGCTTAGTGGTTCAGAGCACTTAACTGCTCTTGCAGAGGACCCAGCTTCAGTTCCTAACACCCACATCAGGTGACTCACATCCACTTGTGTCTCCAGCCAAGAGATCTGCCATGCCCTGGCCTCAAACATCTACATGCACATGCTCCAAATAAACTCATACAGGCATACCCACATTCACAAACAAACACAATTTAATGATCCACCTCATATTGCATTAAAGTTAGGCATTTGCTTTTGTAATGCTTTCCTCGATTGACCACAAGAAACATTCTTTTAAAAATGATTTTCTTCTCCTTCACAGGACCCCACCCCTAGGTTAAGAAACACAAGTAATTAATGACTGCTAAGAAAGGGAGAGCTAGTTTTCCCCAGGGATGAGCTCCTGATTGGTTCACTAATACCAAGTGGCCAGCCCTAAAATCATATGCGTGCAAGTAATACTAGACAGATGCAGGAAGTTGTATTGATTAATTTTTTTCATTCATATATATTAATATATAATATGTAATAAGGAAAATATATATAATAAAGAAAAAGGGGCATGAATTTGAGAGGTTGATGGGAAAGGGTGGGGCTGGAGGGAGGAGCGATATAATATTTTAATTAAATATAAAACTGGGGAACTGGAGAGATGGCTCAACAGTTAAGAATACTGACTGCTCTTCCAGAAGACTTGGGCTCAATTTACAGCCCCTACATAGTGGCTCACAACCATCTGTAACTCCAGTCCCAGGAGATTCCAACACCCTCTGGCCTCTTCAGTACTGTGTACACATGATACACTGATTCATAGGCAGGCAAACCCCCCATACACGTAAAGGTAAATAAAAAGGGGAAAGAATCCAAAATTTAAAAAAAAATTATAAAGTAAATTTGTTTACCTTACATGTCAATGAATTGTCCATTACCAAGTCTTTAAATATTTATTTAAATGAGCATTTTGAAAGCCACATATATCTAAATCTTTTTCTAGTCAGTTAAGAATAAACATCTTCCTGAAGAAGTCCTCAGATCCCATTTGTAATAGAGCATCTTATTGCTTCCGTTTGCTGTACAAGTGCTCTATAGTGGGAACAATCTGCGAGCACAATTGCAAGCATTTAGTGTAGATCCATTCATGCGTTTTTAATAAAATCAGCTTGAAAATGTTTGCAGAAATAGGGCTTAACACAGCAGACTCCTTTTCCTTTTCCTTTTATAATAACGTGTCACAGAAACTTTTCTATCCACATGAATGGACTGTGTGATAAATCATCCATTTAGTAATAGTGTAATAACCCACCAAATTCCAACTTAAGTAGAGTAAAACTTTACATGGGTTTCTGGTTATATATATCAGGATTAATTTGTTAGACATGATAAATTACTACACTTTCAAACAGTAGGTGCAGGAAGGCTGAATTTAGTTTCCATTTAGCTGCCTTTGAGTTAGGCATAATTTTCTTACTACCCCAGATGGCATTGCTGCTTAGCACAAGGTATTTAGTGCTCCTGGAAAAATCATGCTGTTTAGAGCAACAGCTTTGCATTTATCTATCTGTCAGTTAACAAGGTTCATCTTTGTTTACCAACTCATGTCCCATGCCCAGCATGGTGCAGGCAGTGTTGTTCTGTTCCGCTCCAATCTTGGATGCTTTAAACAATCTTGCAAAATTCTGCCGAACTGAATCTTGATGTTCTGTTTTATACTCTGCTTTTCCTCTTTGAACTTTAATGCCACCAGTTTCAATTACCTAATCTTATTTATATAACTGCAGGATTTTCTAATAACAATATATGTAAATTACTGTATTCCAAGTTTGGTTTTCACCATTATTAGTGTTATAATACTGGTCCTTCAGAAAATCACCCCTAACAGATTATTTTGAGACCTATAGTTCTCTAACTTTTGTGCATCTTAATTTATGAATAAAATGAAATTGAAAAAAAATAAATGAAATGATCAGGAATCTGTTATTTTATTTTTCCATATAAGAATTCAAGAACATACTACTTGATGTTTAATCTTTGTTTTATGGTTTCTATTGATTAAATCAATATGGATATGTGTATACTTTAGAATTCATCATTTGAGCTTTCCTTCCCATTTCTCTTTCCTACAGAGGTTTGGAATATCGGGCCCACAGTGAGCAATTCAAAGCCTTTTTTAGGCTACCCAAAGAAGAAACTCTGAAAGAAGTACATGAATGTTTCTTATGGGTACCATTCAGCCACTTCAGTACTCATGGAAAAATGTGCATTTCAGAAAACTACATCTGCTTTGCTAGCCAGGATGGGAATCTATGTAGTGTAATCATTCCATTACGAGAGGTAATATAATTTTCGGTGCATCTAAGTTTGTAATTCATGGCATACCCTTTCATTCTGTGAATTGCAAAAGGCCCAGTAAATGTGTCCTCTTAGCCATGTACAATAATCATTGAAGTTAAAATTCCTTTTCAAGTTAAAAACACTAGCATGTGAGATACTTTTAATTTCCTTTCAGTAAAGCTTTGCCAAAAGTGAAAGTGGGAAAAAATTTGAAAGCAGATAAAGGTTTAGAGTGGCACAAAATAAACTTGATCGTTCTGACCCTTAAGATAAGACCACCAAAATTTAGACTGTCACATTTGATGTACTTGTTTAGAAAGAATGGACTTGGAGACTTTCACGACAGTGAAAAATCAGTCCTCATCACTGACTGTTTTGTCTATGTTGTCAATTTTAAAGGCCATATTACTCTAGCTTTTTCTTTGAAAGGTAAAATAGCTTGAAATGAGAAGATTTGTATCATCATTAGCACAGATGTCTCTCTGAGTAAGTCATACCCCAGACCAAAACTTTCAGCCATGACAGAGAAAGCCAAACACGTACTATCTGAATGTGTCAGCACTGGGAGAAAATGTGATTCACTTATTTATCTTCTTACTCCCCAGGTCTTAGCTGTAGATAAAACTGACGACTCCAACAGATCCGTCATCATCAGCATCAAAGGAAAAACAGCTTTTCGTTTCAATGAGGTTAAAGACTTTGAACAACTGGTGGCAAAACTCAGGCTTAAGTGCCGAGCAGCTTCAACTCAATGTGACCTTAGTACAGAGGTAATTTCTATAGCCATCACATAATCTTGCAGAAAAGCTTGTGTTTAGAATAGTCTATTCTTTCAAAAAGGAACTTATAGTAATTGTTCTATTTGTACCTTTATTTCTTATTATAAAAGCCTAAATCTAAAGAAATTATATACTCTATACTATGCACAGAAGTAAAAATTAAGGACTTTAACGTGTTTAAGAACTAATACTTAAGAAATACTATTAATTTGATCTTCCTACTGTACATGCTTTTCAGTAAGCACAACTTATATGTTCTTCCAACTTGACTTTTAACCCAGTCAATGTTTGGAGACTATAACAGGACCTTACTGGGGCTGAAGAGATGGCTGAGTGGTTAAGAGTACTGGCTGCTCTTACGGTGGACCTTGATTCACTTCCCAGCCCCCACACTGGTTGGGTCAGAACCACCTGTTACTTCTGTTCCAGGGGAACTGGTGATTTCTTCTGGTCTCTGCAGTTATTGAATGCACATGGTGCACATACATAATATGCAGGCAAAATACCCATCTACATAAAGTAAAATGAAAAATTGAAAAAATTTCCTCTTATTTCTGCAGAAATGCAATTGTAAACCATAATTAATATTTTAATGCCTAAATGTTCAGCTTTACCAACAGAATTTGATTCTAAGAACAGTGGCATAGGCATTTACTAGCAAAGTATTACGGGAGGGGGATGATGAGATGGCTTCGCAGGTACAGGGACTTGCCACACAAGTCTGACAAATATGATTCTTAGACTCTAAAGTAAGGACGAAAGAGGAGAACTAACTCCACACACAAACACAAGAATAAGTCGATAAAATAATTTTTAAACACAGAATGATTTTTCTGGGTTTTAAATTATAAAAATATAGCGATGATAAATACTCTGAATAAAGAGTAGTTAGGACCTGATCTTTAATGTCTTTCCAGGAAAGGTAGACTGATTGAATTCAAATGAATTTTCAATTCAGAATCCAGGAGCTCTGTGTTTTTACATATTTATAAAATGTATCGAATTGAACCATATATTTTAATTAAGGATTCAAAGGTAAATAATCAAAATTGACGTTGCTGGTTATATTACTTTATTTAGATTGACAGAGAGCCCTTTCTCACTGGAGAGTGAAGACTGGCAATATGCCAGTTCATTTATAGTGCAGTATTGGTAGATGAAGCCTTCCCTCCAGTAAACCACGCTGTTTTCATTTATGTCATCTTAGTACCAGGTGCAGAATCCTCATGTAGGCCACAAAGAATTTTTATTGCCCATACTTTCACATAATTTTTTTTCAAATTTCCTTATCCAGAATACTCCTTAGCTTGATGTGAAAACATAAATGAAATCTAATCAGTGTTGATAATTAATATTCTCATATAATTGCTTATATAAAATTTGTTATGTCCTTACTCCTTCAGATTTAATCTCTGTTAGATCCAGTATTCTGAGTATTCTTCCCTTTTCTTTAATGTATTTGCCTCTGTAATGTGGGAAGAACTGCAATTTTTTTCTTGGAAGCCTCACATTCCTCTGATAGCTGAGTATCTGCCATTGTCAAGAAAAGATTTTCTTTCAAAATGTTTCCCATTTCTCTGGATACATCAGAATGCTAAGGATTTCCAGTTTTTCTTACCCATTTTAGAGGCTTTGGTATAGATAGATTCAGAAAGCTTACTAATCAGTATAGCAGTTTGCATGGAAGCATGATTTTGAATTCTCATATTTTATTTTCATTGAATTTTAAGTCTCTCTGTCTCTCTCTCTCTGTACTCTTGCATGAACACACATGTCTTGGTGTTCATGTGGCTATCATAGGACAACTTGTGGGAGTCACTTCTTTCCTTCCACCATATTGGTCCTGGTGATTGAACTCAGGTCATCAACCTTGGGAATAGGTACCTTTACCTGCTAAGCCACTTCACCAGCTCAGAACTGAAGGTTTTCATCTTAGCAGTGATGAAGAATTTTGACCCATTTTAGTATTATCTGTATATCTCTAGCTATATCTATATTCATTAAAATTAGTAATGAGAAAGTCTTTTAAAATAAGAGATAGGGGCTAGAGACATATCTCAGAGGTAGACTACTTGTTTAGAATGGGTAATATCCAGCATTAAATGCCTAGCACTTTTTAAAAAAAAGCCAGTGCAATTTGATTTCTAAATAACAAAAGTTGTTGCTTCATTCTTCTATAGCTATGATCAACTTACCTAAACAATGAGAAAAATGCATTGTGTAATTTTAATAAATCCAGTGACTTTTATACTACAAAACTCTTAAAAATCTAAATCCCAGAGTCTAAATCAACAAATCTAAATCTCAGTATAGAAAGGACTGCAGGAAGTTTGTCCTTTATCATATGAGGACATAAATGCCACCAAAAGTAATTGGGATTATGCATAAGCACCAGCTCTGTCCAAATTTTAACTAGGTATCAATTACGTGTTCCATGGTTTCATAAATTACACTAAAACCTGGGTGCATGAACAGGTTTTATAAAATTCTGACCAACTGCTTAAAAATATATTAGTCTTGTTTTTGAGGTGTACAGTAAAGAAATATTACTAAATTTTAAAGCCACTAAATATGAGAAAATTTGACTCTTTTAGCTTAGCTTGGGGCTAGATTAGAAAGCACTGCTAGAGCTCCTTTTAAATTGCATTACAAATTAATCCTGACAATAGAACAGTGGTCCTTAGCCTATAGGTCTCAACCCCTTTGGGGGATCGAATGCCCCTTTCACAGGCCTCACATAATAGACCATCAGAAAATATAGATATTTACATTAAAATTCATAACCGTCGCAAAATTACAGGCATGAAATAGTAACAAAAGTAACTTTACAGTTGGCGGTCACCACGGCATGAGGAAATGTATTACAAGGGTTATAGCATTAGGAAGGTTGAGAACGTCTGCTCTAGAATGTCAAGGAATGTCGAACTGTGTTTAGACAGGCAAATTTCAACAAATTATCAAGGCATATGTAAATGTAACTGGTGCTTGATTTTGCTTTAGTTTCTATGTTTTTAATTATAAGTATTGAGTTCCAGGAACACTTATTCTTGATAGAATGATATATTGCCTATTTCTAGAATTGCAAATAAAAGGTGATAGAGCTGGAACCTGTAACCCCAGCTACTGGGAGGATAAAGCAAAAAAAAAAAAGAAAAAGATTGCAAGTTTAAGCAGACCCTATGTAACTAAGGGAGACCCTGTTTAAGAATTAAAAAACTAAAAAAGACTAGGAATGTGTGTGTCTCAGTATTACTGCACTTATTTAGCATGTATATATCCCTGGATTCAATCCGTATTTAAAAGACAAGGGAGGTTTCTTTTCACCAAGGACATTTATCTTACTATTATTAATACATTTTATTATTTGAGGACTTCATACATGCGTAGAATGTATTTTGATATATTCACCCTTACTCCTTGTTACTCCTCTCAAATCACTTCCCAACCCCTCCCAACTTCACGTTTCTTTTTTTAAAGAACCTACTGAATTCAGTTTGTGCTTCCCATATATGCGTGGGTGTGGAGTCATCAGCACAAAGAAGCATTTTTGATGAAGAATGAGAGCTGTACTAATGTATAGCAATAAGAATATGTATTTAGAGGCAACTTCATATTATATCATTCATTTAGCCAAGTAATAGTACTAGGTTCACACTGGGACCTATGAGCTTCCCCAGCCATGGGTTCTTTGTCACATTTACAGTGCTAGCCATATGTTTATTCTTTTGGAGTGGGCCTTGAATCCCATCAGAAAGCAGTTGATCACCCCTGTTATATTTGCGCCAATATTGGACCCATCATCAGTGTATATTACTCACAGGGTTCACAGCTAGATAAAACTGTTGATATATTTCTCCCTCAGCATCCTGAACAGCAGCACCTTTTGGTACTATGCAAGGTACCCAGTAGGGGAAATTCTTCCTAGGCAGACTAGCTTAATTCTACGTGTCCATGAGCACAGTGTGTGGTGCTCAGGAGCAGCAGCCTTAGTATCAGGTAGCCTGTACGTTTAGGTGTCTCTAGGATAACTTAGGAAAGTAGCCTGGCACTGGGCTGTTTATTTGAAACCCGTGGCTTCTGGGAAAAACGTTTTCCCTTGTGCTGAGTAACTCCAAGGTGTGTGGTGTGTGTACCCTCTCATCACCTCTTCCATTTAATATCACCTGTGTTCTACTCTTTTTTCCCCGAAGGAAAACAAGAATACAGTCAGAAATAGTAGTTAAACCCACATAACTGATTTTTGCTTACCTTAAGAATAAGGCAATACTAGCTAGAGACATCCCTCTTTAGGTAAAGGCACTTGCCACCACGTCTGACACCCTGATTTTGATCCCTGGTGGAAAAGGAAAATTTAGTCCAGCAAGTTGTCCTTTGACACAGACACACACACAGACACACACTCTCTCTCTCTCTCTCTCTCTCTCTCTCTCTCTCTCTCTCTCTCTCTCTCTCTTTCTCTCTCTCTATATATACATATATATACATATACATATACAAAATTTTGTTAAAGAATAAAAATGTGTGTTTTCTGTGGCTACAATTAAAATAGGTATATAGATTAATGTCTGAGTTAGGAAACCAGAAATTTTGTTAGAAATATAATTAGCAACCTATTTTAAATTATGGAGTATGCATGGGCTGCCATTTACAGTAAGCTTCTGGTATTTGAAAGAACTGCTTCTCTGTAAATTTTGTCTTTTTAAATTTATAGCTCAACTCTGTCTCCCAATCACTATTGATTGTGCTGTGTTTATAAGTTATTTTAAGTTGTTATTTTATAGAAAGGTTATACACAAAGAAATATTAACCTTTGCCCTATATTTCCTTCACTGTTAAAGCCATATCCTGTTTCTAAAATCAGTGTTTGATATAAAAAAGAAAAATGGAAAAAAAGGCTTAAGGGTACATGCCATAAAATAAACAACCTCTATTACTTTCTACTTGGGATTGGATGTTGCTCAGGCAACAAAATGTCTGAGTGCCAAGTTTAT